TCCTTTTTCGGTCTTTTCTCAAACTCTTTAATTGTTTTCTCTGATTATTTCTTAACTGTCAATCTATTTTAAACTAATATGAATGAATGATATATATTTAAAGTTAATGGTATTTTATATTCTTGATAAAAAGACATCACCGATAAGGTTTCCTATACTTTACCACTATCAGAAATTATTCGCGATAGTCACAATTACTTTTTATTTTCATAGTATATTTTTTCATTTTTTTCAAATTATAATGATAATGCAAAGATAAAGAACGTATATATTATAGATAATAGTCAATAAGTGAAAGATAATATTAGTTTTCATCTTTTATGCTCAACCCTTACTAGCTCATGTTGTGTTTCAAGGCATGTAGAAAATCCAAATGTTTTTGAAGACACACTGGCACAATTTTTTTTGTTGATTTCGTACGAAATGAAAAACAAAACTTCACTTAAAGATGATGCTGTCTTCATACATGGAAACAAGTTTAAACACTTTTATTAAATCAGATAATTCTTCACAGCCTTTTCTCCTAAATTCCTTAAAATCAGGCATATATTTAATATTAGTCATGTAGAATGGTATGAGTTCTTTTATAATATAAGTGTGTTGAATAGTGTCCGACATGACCAACTTTTTTGGTCACGGCACTTCTTTCTGGTTCCTCAAAATGAAAAGAGCTTTCCAGAAAGAGCTATTGCAAAGCTTTCGTTTACTATTAAAAGTGATGATCGGCAAAGGGGGGGGGGGCACAGTGGACAGTCAGGCGACAAAATCGGTTTTCGAGATTTCAACCCATATCGTAGCTAGCATTGACGCTAGTATGATACTGCATTTAAGCGCATCCTGAAAGCTATTTTATATGGAGTATCTGTTAAAAAGCAGATACCGCAAGGTACATAAAATAGGTGAACATCATTAATGAAACCATATAATGAAGATATATGTTTTAAATTGATGATCTAGTTATATTCATTAGTTATTATATAGTTATACAATGTTATGCATTTACTGTATATTACAGGCCATTCGAACTTCTAAAAGTTCTTCAGACTATAAAAAGAGCAGAAACTTAGGCCTTGTATAGTGAAAAATAGGTACTAACCAGTAATGCAATTCGTTTCCCGGAGTTTTCCTGAATTTTAATTCAAGTTTTGGTTTGCTCTCTGGTAGAGCATATCATCATCTATCTTCAGTGGATGCGCAAAGATGCACTATTGAACTCTTGTCGAGATATTTGAATTTTACGGGATTTTGCAGCACAACACCATGGCCCCTCTCAAATTCACCTGAAAAATCAACTTTAGAATTTCGACTTGAAACTTTGTGCAAAGAAAGATCCCAATGAGACTAGTTTTTCCTCACAGTTTCAAGTTTCTTGGCTGCTGCTATCCTTAAATATGAACACTTCATATATTGTGCTATAAGCGATGTTAATAGGAATATTTTTTCTTATACTCGTATCTCGGGATAGAAGCAATCCAAAAATCCAAGACATTCAGAACAAACTAGTCTCATTGACACCTTTCTCTGGGGAAAGTTTCAAGTTGAAATTCGAAAATTGATTTTTCAGGTGAAGCTGAGGGAAACCACGGGTTTTTGCTAAAAAATGCCATGAAAGTTAAATATCTCGACAGAAATAAGCTATAAGCACGAACTCTTTTTAGGATATTCATAGCTCATTAGAGCCTACATAATGTGCATAGTCTCGATTCAAAAGCGATTTGGCGGCAACTGGAGATTACTTCTGACCCCCTTTTTCTGTCTACTGTGCGGATGGCGGGAGGGGTGTGCGTGGAAGCCTCGAGAAGATCTCCCTGTACTTCCTCAGTGCTGAACCCCTGAATGTCCTCGACTATTTTAGTGTCTGTGACTGACTGCGACTCACGGTGGTCACGCTGAGTACTAGTGTTGAATGTCAGCTGTTCATGTGTTTTTTTCTATGCTACGTGTTCTTAAATAAGGATTTAAAGAGAATGATGGCTTTTGCTTTTGTTTTTCGTCTTTCTTCGTTTTCTAACGAAGACTGGGTCATCATCATTGCTGCAGTTGTTATTGCATATGAACTAATTACATTTTGGCACGTTTTCTATGAAATTCATGCCACTGCAGAACCAAGTTTTTTACTTATGACAATTTATCTTGATCAACCACTAAATATTAAAACAGAACAGGACCTAAGAATGCAACAATCTGAAATGAAAATGATTCTAATGATAAATAGTATTAAATAACAAAAAGATACAAATGAGAGTAGTTTTTTCCTTTACTGAAGTCGTTCAGTGCTTTTTACTTGAAACGGCAAGTCTTTAAAACAGAGCCAGTAGGCAGTCTTTTCTTTTTAAATTTCGTGGTAGTCAAAAAAAGGAGTACTTCGTTTTCCTAATTTTCTTGTTGTAAAAAGAAATTGTTTTAATATCCATAACATACTTGCCTCGTATTATGGCTTTGAAATAAATGCTTCATTAAAATAATACTGGAAATTTGATAACAATTCTTTTTCCAAAAGAACTTCGAATAGTCCATTATTGTTGATTGGAGGTGTTAAATACTTTTCTAAGATATCAACTACAGTATAGGAAATACCTATTGTTTCATATTTTTACCTAGGTAAACATTTTTTTGCGTTAAAACATGACTTGAGAACATCTTTAACTGACATCAACAATGTGAAATATGTTCTTGTAAATGTAATTTTTTTAAATTGCCCATATAACTTCAGCATCAATCGAATTTCACATAATGAATGTTGAGTCATGTTTATAATAACAGAACTGTATAGTAAATAACGTCCTAACATTAAATACTATGTATCCCATGATATTTGAAAATCAACAGTTTGATCATTGAATCGTTGCTGTTGTTGCTCTCGAGTAGTTGGTGAATGACCGTTCACTTTTTGTAATTTAATTTGCGCTTGATGAATAACGTTTCAATCAAGAACGGTACATTGACGAGTCACGTTTATTCGTTTCTTTATAATTTTCAGTACATATATTTATTAGATTACAAAATATTGATATCAGCTTTATATTTTTTAAGTAGCTCGTTTGCATTGAAATAACTTTTAACCATTTCTAAATTATTTTTAATATGCTAATTTTTTCTTCAAAAAGTATTCCTCCTTTGTCAACAACATTAATTGATGCTAGAGATTGTTCATAATTATCATTATTTTTTGATGGGTTTAAAGTTTTGTGTATTGTCGGGCGTCAGTTCAGAAATTTAGCTTATGCTGGATGTGGATTCATATCTATATTTAATTTCGAACCTGGTTCGTATTCAGCTTAGAATCTAGATATAAATGAGCAGGAGTATACAAAGAACAAGATGAAGCTAAACAATACAAAACCAACCGATGGAAAGCATATAATCAACATGTAAGTAATATCTTTTCTTTATGCTTACATATATCAAATACACTTTATTTCAAATCAAAATTAATCTTCCGTTTTTATTCTAGTTCATCACTCTCATTGATGCTCTCACTGTGGGTGTCAATAATTTGATCATTATTACACGGATCGTCGTCAATAGCTCGGTTTTTGTTGTTGTTGTTGATGAAGAAAACAATTGATCTTGTTCGTGATTGACGTCAACGTTGTTTGATGCTGACAATGATAAAGGCATTAAATTTTGAGATAATTTTTTTTTCTTGCACATGCATCAATTATTGACGATCAAGTTCTTCTAATAGCAAAAGATTTTTGTTTCAACACTGTAAGTTGTTCACTTCTTGGCATCTAAGTTGGTTTGCCAACCACAAATCATATTACTAACTACAGAAAAAAAGACGTCCGACCATAGTATACGAGGCTAGAAACCTATATATGAGTGAATTGCAACTTTATTGTACCATTTTGACAAAAAAAACGGGCGAAAAAAAAGTTTCGATTCGAAAGCTGATAAGTCGTGTTTTTAACTGTACTATATGAGAGGAGAAATAGAATAAATTTTCCCGACTACCACTATAACTATAGCCATGATATAAGAGAATCATTCAAAANTTATATAGATGTTCGATGTTCACAATCATGCCGGCGATCCCTCACTGGTTAATCAAGTCAAACTTGGAAATAAATGACAATTATTAATTATCGAACGATGTTTTATGCTCAACTGTTCAAGATCAGTTGTCCCTTATGATCAGTTGTCGTCATGATCAGTTTTTCCATGATCAGATGATCATGATCAGCTGTCCGTGATAAGTTATCCCATGATCAGTTGTCCTAGACCCGTTGTTAATATTGTCCAGAGCCTTTCTTTCATTGCTAAGGAAGTCTAGGAAAGGAGCTTGATGTCTGTTATTCTTGGCCAATATGGAAACGTACTTCAAAGATTATTGACCTTTTTTCCTCCGTTGCTATTAAAAAGAAAGCCACAAAGTCTTAACTAAAATCATGCAATCAGTATATTTTTCTTCGAAAAACATAATGTAAGCTTCACAGAATCTGACAGTTTATTTACTTTCAGGTGTTTATATGCTCAATTACGGTTACTCAACAATGAAAAACACGACGTGTAAACTTGTTATTTCTAACTCGCTCATTCTATTAACAGAACAAAGAAAAAAGGTGTTTTATAATTTTGTCACCATATAAATTATTTATTTCAGAAAAATAACTTCAAATAATAGGGAAAAAAAATCATGTTGTAATCTAAAAACATTCAAGGCAAAGCTTTTACGAGAATTTTTGTTGATTTTTTTTCAAGGTGTTGTCATGAATTAATTTTTCTTTTTCTTTTTGATCAACACGACATCAGAATAAATATTGTCCAAAAAGTTTCTTCTTTCGTTCTTTCTTCAACAGACAAACAAAATAGACTGTTTTTTTTCTTCTCATTCTGCTTTGCAAACGTAACAGCCGTGCAAGAAAAAAAACGTTGTCTCATACATTATTTGAAAGAGCGGACAGTCTTGCCTTGAGTCTTTTTTCGCACGGAATTTCTTTGAAATAAGTCAAGAAAGAAAAAAAAAACAGAGAACGCATTTTTAAACAATTACTGTAATGGCTGCAGTTTCACCGAAAACAATAGAAAATGATGGAAATTTCGAAACATATTGTTTAATTTGGCTTGATGCCTCTGTGAACAGTTCAAAGGAAAATTGTCAAATTCAAGAACAACTACAAGCAATAATTAATCATTTATTAACATTTGAAGATGATCAACAATGTCTTCATTATATTAAAAATCGTTCTGAAGACGATCGAATTATTTTAATTGTTAGTGGAAGATCAGGCCGAAATATTGTACCTCAAATAGTTAATCTACAACAGATAACTTCAATCTTTGTTTATTGTTTTGATAAAAAAGCTAATGAACAATGGTCAAAACAGTTTACCAAAGTAAAATATTTTTTCATTAAAACTTATTGATATACTTTTTATTTATTTATCTATCTAGGTTAAAGGTGTAATAGTTCGATTCGATGAACTTATTCAACAAATTGAAAAAGATTATACTCAACAACAACATGATAAAATTGATGAACCATTATTAATCAAAGTTTTTGATGAAAAAAATATATCTAATGATTTACATGACCAATTTATTCATGCTCAATTATTAATAGATTGTCTTATTCGAATGACATCATCATCGAACGATAAAAATGAACTTATTTCTTTATGTCAACAATATTATAAAAAGAATAACACTCAATTAATGATTGTTAAAGAATTTGAAAATAATTATTCGTCTGAAAAAGCATTATGGTGGTATACGAGACATTCATTTATATCTCGATTAATAAATAAAGCATTTCTAGATCAAAATATCGATTTATTGTTTTTATTTCGATTTTTTATTCATGATATTGGATGTCAATTAGGCAAAGAAAGATGTTTATCAAAAGTTTGTGTTTATCGAAGTCAATTAATGTCGAAAAAAAATCTTGAAATGTTATTAAGTTCAGTTGGCAAATTGATTTCAATTAGCTCATTTCTATCGGCAAGTATGAATTATGACAAAACTCGATCGTCTCTCGATTATGCTAAATCATTAAACGGTATTGAAAGAGTTTTCTTTCAAATTCAAGCAAATCCTCAAATACACAATATCAAACCATTCAGCAATATTCAATTACAAGATTATTTTCAAAAGACAACCGAAGTACTTTTTATGGTTGGATCAATTTTTCGTATTGAACGAGTTGAATGTCCTGCTGATCAAATTTGGAATATTCGAATGACTTTATGTTCAGTAAATGATAAAGAATTAAGACCTTTGTTTGAACATATGAAGAGAGATTTAGGTATTGGAAAAACAACTCTTATTCAATTTAGTAATATTCTTCGTCAAATGGGAAAATTAAATCAGGCCGAAAAATATTATCGTCGTTATCTTAATCAATTACCGAATGGTCATCCAGATATTGCTAACTGTTATCAGGCATTTGGAAAGATAGCAGAATCAAAAAAAGATTTTAAATTAAGTCTTAAATGGTGCAAGAGATCATTGAAAATCTTTTCAAAAACACTAAAACCCGATGATCCGAATCTTGCTGAGGTATATAATAACATGGCAAATGCTTATTCAAAAACGAATGATTATACAAATGCAATAGACTCATATCTGAAAGTATTGGAGATTTGGAAGAAAATTTATGGTGATAAACATTCTCATGTAGCTCAATGTTTGAATAACATAGGTGTAGTCTATGAAATGAAGAAGGAATATTCTCAAGCTCTCGAACATTATCAACAAGCATTGAAGATTTTCAAGAAAACTCCTTCTTCTTGTCATATTGATATTGCTATGGCCAACAGAAATATAGCTTATGTGTATGAATCAACGGGAGATTTTAAACAAGCATTAGTTTTTTATGAAAAAGCCATGAAAATCTATCGTTATTTATTACCATCAACTCAGATTTATGTTAATGAAATTGACAAAAGTATGCGACGAATTTCATCTAAATGAGAATAGTTTTATTTTGGTTTTTGGTGAAGAGATTGAGAGATCATTTTTTTTTTTAGTCGGAAGAATAAAAATATTTATCTGATTTGAATAAACAAACATTGCTTGCATTCTTTTTTCTATGTATGTTTCTTGAGATAAAAACAAAACAAATGAAGTAGTAAATAATGTGAAATAACCATGAAACAAAATTAGATTTCATACAATCTAATACAAATGAAATAATGAAGCAATTCATATACAACAAATATATAATATATTCAATAATTAAATGTTAATTATAAACTAATTATTTATGAACGCGTTTCTTGAATAATTCTTTCGTTTGAATTAAATATTATATTCAAATAATATTCTAAATAATTATTAAAGTCTAACAATTATTTCAGTTAAATAGTGAAAGAAAATGAAGTATTTATTTGATAGAATTGTATATTTGAACGAATGAAGAATCACTTAGTATGCGTCACGTCTGTCATTCACTTTTATTGGTAATCAGATGATGAAAAATGAGATGATGCTAATTTGAGATAATGATACAGTGAGATCTTTAGCTACTTCTTAAATAGCAATTCATATCATGTTTGTAATATATTTCATTTCTGTGTGCGGAAAAGAAAAATAAACTTTAACGTTAACATGGCTAAGATCACGATAGAACAAAATAGACATAGATAAAAGATAACGATCAGAACTTACTTTTTGTATTTCTTTTACTAACCAAAACTATTACAAAGAAAAGAACTATTTGTAACACCGATAATAATGCGTGTCACAAATAAGAATAAAGTTGATTTTGATAACAAACACATGTGTTTGAAGCTTTTCATCTCGACGTATATGATAGATAAGGACAATATCAAGTGTGGGTAAAAAATATTCAATAGGAAGCTAACCTTTCGAATGACAGAAACGAATGCTATGTTGTTTGTCGAACGACACTTTAGTCGGCAGACTTTTCGTCGAAGTAACTTTGTCGAAAAATTTTTGTTGAAATTTTTTTGCAGAAAAGCATTTCGTCAACAGAGTGTGGGTGTGTGTGCGTGGATGTGAGTGTGGGTGTAGGTGTACAAATGTGGTGTGACTGTGGTTAGAAATGCATTCCCGCTGCTACCCACAACTTTTTTTGATATGCTGTGTCGACGAACTGCCGTGTTGACAAAAATTTTTCGGCTAACAATGTACAGACAGAAACAGAGTTGACTTGATTGCGAAGAGACTGTGTCGAGATTGTGATCTTCTCTCACCCCATCAAATTGGACATTTTTCTTATTTTTATCACATAAGAAAAAGAAAAACAAACATACATTAGAGGTTTGTTTACCTTTTCGGACGAGGCAGGAGTAAAATGCAGTCTTTCTGAAAGCAACCATAAAGTAAAATGAAATTTATATTTTGCTTTGTTAAAAATAACGATTATACAATCATAGGTCGTTTTAAAACGTCTAACCTTTAGTTTTAAATGCATTCTGTGATTCTTCATAAGGTCTAAAAGACTTTGTGTGTGAACAGCTATCATGAGTGTGACAGTTTTCGGTGGTGAAAAGTTCTTCAGAAATATGATAAGTTGTCTCTAATGATGGTTTTAATTTTTAATAAGAATTGACACAAGCATAGAACTTTGATCAATCAAGAAAAGCTTTCATCTCAGTCAAGAATGAAAGATAAAAACTTGAAATATCCTTGTGTATCCCTCTTCCATCTCTTCATGTGTTCCACCATTTTATTTCGATGTGCACGTTTTTCTTTTCTTAATGTGTTTCCTGTGTGTGATATATTAATTAAACTGGATTGTATTTATGGCAAATACACAGAAAAAACAACTAGAAACCTATTGTTATTGCAAATATATTATCTCAGAAAAAAAGTTTTTTACAACCTCCTAAGGTTCAAAGGATCAAGGCATTCCTGCTAGTACCACATTTTCACAGACATCTTCCATTTCCTTTTTTTTTCCTTTTGAAACTCTCATAAGTCCGTTTTTCAGTGTTTATTTTCTTTTCTCTCTTCTATATAAGCTTCCCAGATCGATCATTCCGACCGTCTGAAACGATTCAGAAACAGTGTTATTACTATCCTAAACAGTGAAAAATTATCGCAGTGTTTCATCGGAACATAAATGATGCCATTTAGGGTCGTTTCAGTCAAAAACCGCTGCACATCATTAGAACCATATTTTCATCGGCTACTTTCGTATTTACATCAGTTTTGGTCACACACGGCTTATTTTCATCAATCGAAATTCATCCTAAATAGCATCCTGCTTGCACTTTATATTGTTATATGAAGAGTTTCATTACATAAATAGAATTCCTCCATACAGATTTATCATTACAAGCTACATCCTAAGTAGATGTATGAAAAAGAGGCGCACACAGACACAGTAATCATGTGCACTATATGTGAAAGTACCATTCAACATTATGTTTTAGATAAAGTAGTTCATTAATAGAAAAAAAAACTCTTATTTGAAGGATGTTTTTTTAACAAATAATTAACTCCTGTCGTTGTCTTCGGTTTTTAAACATTTATAAAGTGTTGTTTTGATATGCGGTGAGCAACATCATTGAAACTTGGATAAACTTCATACTAAACATATAAAACACAAAACAATTAGTTCCATCATCAACAAAATTTACCTATGGAACAAATGATAAACGAGATATGTGCGAAGATGTGTACATGTATTTCATAACTCAATTAAATCTATTCATCGATGCTTAAACTAGCTCAAAAAAGTTAATCGGAGCCTCATATTAACAAAAAACAACAAATGTAGGGAAAAAAAGAGTAAAGTGCATTTTAATCTCAGCAAAACACTTTCACAAAACATCAGAAATCGGTCCAACGAGAAATGGTAGATAAGAATATTAAGATTTATCTACTAAACATCATTAGAAAATATCTAATTATGTTTATAAAATACTTTCTTCATCACGTATGATAATGATTTGACAACGGGGTGAAACTAACGGTCGGAACAATAATCATTTTTGCTTGATTGTAAACGATGATCGAAACGGATGTCGTTTAGCAGCATTTTCGAGTTGTGTAAAGCCTTTTACAGATCGTTCTGTTTTATGCGAACTACGCGCATTTTGGTGATACGAGATAACTCAAATAACATCCTTATCCCGAGTGGAGACAAAGCTTCTTTCAAGTTTGTCGTTACACAGACATTTATATATAATATGAATAACAATGAAAAACGAATTTTGAACTAGCTCTAAGTAACTCTGAAAAAAGTTTTTATTTATTTATGACCATCTCCTACCCCTTATATTCTAGACTTATTGTTCTATTCTACTGGCCCGAAAAAGTGTCGAACTATATTATCAGTATGTGCTAGTAGAAAAGTATCTGAAATAATGTGCAAGATGGAAATTTCAGATTTCCCCGTAGTACTAGAGATGGGAAAGTCAAGTCAAAAATGACTTGATTTGAGTCGAAAACTTGCTTACTTACCCATCTCTCTCGCACACTTGCATCAAATAGGTTGTTCACACATGTGAATGAATCTTATCCAACACGATTATTATATAGATTGGTTATGAATTACATTATTGATGGATTTGTAAAATAAATTGTCTATCCAATCTTGCGACATTGCTTTCAAATCCATAATTAATATTGTCTTTACCGATTTCTGTATACTTGAAAAAAACCTGTGCCACTCTTACTCATCTAGTATATACAACATCTCAATGTCATTCTATAGGACAAAAAGTGGTGACATCTTTTGCGATTTTTTCGAACAACTTTCCTATTTTCTTATATTTTAACTACATGAGATTTAGTTGTGATCAGGATGATATTTAACGAAAGAAATTCCTTGATTTAATGGAAGAAAAAAAACTTCACTCTACTTTGTTCATGAGAATGCATTTCATATCAATTACTTCTATTTATTCATGATATGACACCTAAGAAATAAATTCATATCATAAGGATATCTGAAGGGTATATTATTTTGTTGGTTCTTCTTCAGATTATGCATTTCCTTAATACACATTGGCTAGCGCACCGCTCTGTGAGGGTACAGAGACATGTGCAATCTTAAGTACACAATTTTTTTTACTAGCTGAATGTTTGGCAAATTGATGTAATTTCATCATTGTGCTTCTTCTTCCCACTTTTTTTCCAGGTAAATAGTAGGCCATGTGCAGTACTTCATTGTATTTTCTTTTTCTTTCTTTTTTCTTAACAGCAATATAACTGGGAAGAAACTACAGTCAATTCTTTTACTCGGATAGAAGTGTAGTAGAAAGATGACTTTGAATACTGTGAAAAATAAAATAGAAGAAATTCTTTCACAAAATGATGAAAATCAATCAGTAATCATTAATCGATTAGATAAAGTAATTCAGGAAGCCGGAATTGACGCAATAGCAGCATGGCGAAATTTAAAGAATAAAACAGGAAATACATTAATACATGAATTGGTCGAAAAAAACTGTCCAGATGTTGTTCAATATCTAGTCAATAAATATAAATTAGACGTAAATGTTCGTCGTGAATCGGATGATAAAACACCTCTTGACTTGGCTCAATCAAAAGATGATGAAGAAATGGTAAATATATTAGATGATCTAAACTGTAACATGATGCAAGAAATTTCCAATGATGATGTATCTGATGTTGACCCAAGAAAAAGAATGAACCTTGTTTGGCTTGATTTAGAAATGACATCTATTGAAGATCCCAAAATCATGGAATGTGCTGTTATAATTACAGATAAACATTTAAATGAATTAGAACGAGGTAAATTATTTTTACAACAAACATTTATTTGTAATTTTTCATAGATGAATCATAGACAATTATGGCGTACTTCCTACAACATGTTTTTCTTAGTTATTTTTTGTTTTTGAAAGAATTTACGTCGAGTCATAGATGATTTACTGATCGATTTCATACACAATTGCATAAAATTGCTAGTTTTTTAGCTTTTCATTAAAAAAAGCGTCTGAATAAAATGACACTATTTCGCTATTGAAAGTTTGTTAACATTATAGGCACAGAAGCATAAAAAATGATATAGCTCACGATCAATCAGTCTCTTATTTTGCTACTCTCTATCAAACAAAGAAATAAAATATTATTAATAATTGTTGGACTTCAATTAGACCTTTTCTTTGGTTGACAACTTGACTTGTTACCGAAAACTGTCTTTCTGAACTGCATGGTATTGAGTATATGCGACATGTTAATTAATTTCGTCTCGTGGTGATCCCTCCTAATCTCGTCGCACCCTGTTTCGGCCTTTGCTACTGATCAGTCAGTTTTCAAATCTCAGTCTAGACAAAATAGCACTTTCATGTCGCAAAAACCTGTGATTCATCGCGGTTTACCGTTTGGTTAGCTGGGATGTTAATTGTGTGTGTTAAACACAGTTCTTCTGTGTGAATTGTTTTAATGTCGATTGTTTTTGATGAAGTTTGTTTTTTTCATTTTTCCTTTAAAATAATACTGTCTGCCTTGAAGAAACCGATTGCTACTCACAAAAAGTCGATTATAAAATGCGACAGTATATTGTGTCAGATGGCGCCATACTTTTGGCCTTGATTGAGTCTTCTAACCAAAGCACTAATTTTGTGACACTCATCTTTAATAAATAACCAAACCAAAACTAAGAGACTACAGTCGATATGACTATTGGAAGCAGCTTCAGCGCTATCAGAATATTGAGAGAAAGCGATTTCGACTGAAACCTAACATATTTTTAAGAATTTAAAAATATTCATGCTGTGAGATACAAAAAAGACTAAGCAGAAGTATCGTGGTTAACCGGTGGTTTTCGAGCAGTCCAGACGCCCTGAGTTTTAATATTTTATTGCATGAATATCTTTTAAGTTGTAGAAAAAAATGCTATATTCTAATCGATAGCGCGCGCCTCTTTGTTATGGTAAGCACACTTAAGTTACGTATACCAGTTGCATCGACTATTTTTGCTTAGCTTTCACGAGTTTGATTATTTATTAAAGATGGCATCACAGAAATAATGATTAGTTGAAAGATTTAAACAAGAGAGAAAAGTGTAGTGTCATCTGACATTATACACTGTGGCATTTAAAGATAAAAAGGAATAAATTACTCGAGCTGTGGGTTTCTTCATGAATCGTGATTAAGCGTTTAGCTTGATGAAAAAATGACGACATCGGCTTATTTTCAATGATCTTGATGGTACATTAGGAAAAAGTACTCTTTTTCTTGCATTCAAATACGTTGCTTGCAATATTTTGTTTTTCTGAATATAGATTTAGTGGAAACATTTTTATATTTTATAATGAAGCCTAATTGAGAGTAGAATACGAACTGTCAAGAACGTGATTATTTCTTATGCTCCCGTTTAATAATAAAAAAATGAAAGCCTTATTTCAATACTAGAAAAAAAAAAGGATTCTCAAGACATTGCAACGTCATATTTCCAATGAAAATAAAAAGAATATCAATTTATTCTGCTATTGAAAAATATTCTTTTTGTGTTTTAAACAAATTGTCATACGATACCAAGAATAATTTTTACATATTTCAATTAAATTAATATGAACTTTGAATTTTTCTTGAAGATCAATGGGTTATTCATTATGATCAAACCGAATTAGATACACTTGGTTCATGGCATCAGGAACAATTTAAATCTGTCGATCAAGGTGGCAATGGTTTATTCGATGCATGTATCAAATCTACTCTTTCCGAATCCGATGTTGAAAAAAAACTACTCAAAATACTTCAACGTCATTGTCCTGAAAAAGAATGTTCTTTAGCTGGTAGCTCAATACACATCGATAAAGAAGTTTTAAAACAGCGAATGCCAAATGCTCATAATTATTTACATTATCGTATTGTTGATGTTAGTTCATTTCGTGGAATGTTAAAGCGATGGGCACCAAGAAATGAATTAAAATTTGTAAGTAAACTATCCAACAATGGACGAGATACAGTTAATCATCGAGCTATGGATGATATTGAATATTCAATAGAACTTATGAAATTGTTTCATCCATTATTAACTGGACGTCCGTAAGTTATTTCATTTAATATTTAATAATCAAAAGAAAAAGAGAAAGTCAAAGCCTATAATTCTATTAAAGATTTCTGATTAGAGTATTCGATGTAGGCGAAAACAAAAATTCTAATAGTAACTATTTTAAGGAAAGAAAAAGAAGAATCACTTGCTTTAATTATTTGTATGAATGTGTTGTTTTTTATAGATATCGAGACAGGAAACCACAAGATCGACCATTACATAGAAATGAGAGACGTGATGCTGCAGAAGCTTCTGCTGTACCAAAAAATAATCGTCCAATTGGAAATTTTGAACCAGATAGATCAACATTTTTTGCTGATGAGAAGACATTAGTGGCGCGATTGGAACTCGAAAAGAATACTAATGTAAAGACTCTAAGACTCGATAAAAAATCTCAAGAAATCTACAATCGTAATCCACATTTACGCGAAGTTTTTATAAGTGGTGAGTCAAAAGTAGAAATTCAACAGATATTCAAAAAGGAAAATCGGTTTTTGAAATTACGAAGTCTTACATCCTATCGCCAAATGTCTACTCAACATCATATTACAACTGAACATTGGGGAACACGAAAATTACTATTAACAGATATCGAGTTTTTAACAAATTATGGTCGATCTGAAAAATATTTGGTAATTTATATTGGTGCTGCACCTGGTATACACATTAATTATTTAAGTGACTTATTTCCTGATCTCGAGTTTGTTCTTATTGATAGAAAAAAAGTTGAAACCAAAAAAACACCAAAAATTCATATTCGTTCAGGAGAATTTCTTGATGATATAGTGAAAGAATATTCTAAATCAAAAAGAGAATTATTATTAATTTGTGATATACATGCGTTTGGTGCACAAGATGATTTAGACGATAACATGGTAATTGATATGGTCAATCAAAGAGAATGGCATTCATCTATGAAACCAAAAGCATCTCTTCTAACATTTCACTTTCCGCATACAAAACATCAATTACAGTATTTTGAAGGTGATCTCATATTAGAACCATGGGCTTCAAGACGTTCTTCTGGTTGCCGTTTGGTAGCTCAAAAAAATGCACGTATGATTAATTATGATTTCAAGAATCTTAAGTTATCTATGGATTATTTTCAAAATGTGCTGAGAACAAATTATTATGAACATGATCTCAAAGATTCAAATACTGATGGACTTGATCATTGCTTTGATTGTAGAAGTGAAATATTTATTTTATCTCGATATCTGGAGAAAATTCAAAAAGTTTCAAGCGAACAAATATTAAAGGCTGTATCGAAAATGTCTGAAGAAATTTCAAGAAACATATTCGATAAAAATAGACCACCGATTATTTCCGGCACACGAACACTGGCTGTTGTTCCCAAAAAATAAACGATGATTCATTTTTCTATTTCATTTACAATTAACATTTTTTCAAACTTATGAACAAAAAATAATTCAAACGAATAAAAGATTTAATGAAGAATTCTGTCTCTTTTTTTTTCTGTAACATTTATATAGATAATTTTGAGCTCGATAAAATTATATATATCGTACTTTAATTAATTGTCTACGATGCAGAGAGATGTCCAAGAACATCTATGTCTTTTTTCAATGGTACGAATTGCAGGTGATAAATTGCTTCAATTTTTGAATACTTCATCTTACATTCGTTCCTATTTACTTCTTTTTTTTTTAGCAACTATAACTATCAAAGTCAATATTGTTTTTTATTTTAGCATACTAATTAATCTATTGGATGTAGGAACCATACTATTGTATTCTTGTCTCGGCGTAAAACGTATAACACTAGCTGCACAAATCGCTTTTTTCACTTTCAATACTTTTTAATATAAAGACATTGATTGATCAACATAAATCATTTGAATGATTTTATTCACCTATGTTTAAAACTGATATGGATAATGAAGAGTCATATTTTCTATTTTTGATGAAGTGTAACTTCTCACATTCAGATTATCGATTATTGTATTAAAGCTGAAATTTATGTTCATAATTTATTGGATGAAATCTTGGAATCATTTATCAGAATTCACAAATCAATGTCTTAGATCATTGATTAGAACATCAGAGGGCATTATTTGTAATCAGGAGTATCCCCCTAATATGAGTGTGGGTGCGTACCAGTGTCTTCTCTTCACCTAAATGCCCACATCCACTGCCCCCTTACACGCTGACCCACTCGCATCTGTGCACTCCACATCCGCTTTCTTGTATTCATATTGATGAATTTAATCAATTCAATAATATGACAATAGAACAGTTTATCAAAGGTTGAGAGAACGATTGATTTTACATAAACAAAACTACTGTAGAAAAAGTATTCATTTTGGGCGTTAATTTTCGAGAGGTAGTGTCACGCGTAGAAATATTCCGGCACAGAGATATCTTTGTGCGAAAGTGTCAGCGTGGAAATGTGATGTACGGAAGTGTCGTTTACTCCTTGGGATATATTCAATATGGCAAACAATCAACTAATCATTCTGCTCAATTTCTGTCATCCTCTGATGTATAGGACGTGTCAGTAGATCGGTGAACAAATAAAAACTTGAATATTTCTTGCATATTCTTTATGAAATAAGCCGATAGTCTGTATCACTAATAAAATAATGTTCAAACATCATATTCATATGAGACACACTCAAGGAAATTTTCTTTGAAGTATCACAACTGAGGGTGTGGGTGTGGATGTGGGTGTGGGGTGTGGGGTGGGTGTGTGGGTGTGGGTGTGGGTGGGTGTGCTTCTGGTGTTCATATTCACTAATCCACACCCACACACCCACCCACACCCACACCCGCACACACCCACACCCACACCCACACCCTGAAGTCATTTGCAACACTTAAAAATAGTTCCTCCAATTACTCTCTTATGAATATTAGATTTGAATAGTCATTTGTCAGTAGTACAAAATATCAGTCAGTTACGTATGAATAATGGCGGAGATATTCATTTTTTCTTTTTAATGATGAAATATCTAAGTCAAAGAAAATATCATTCAAAATTAAACTTCATCATCATTTTTCAATGTATTCGACAACGTGATGATGACCTCTCCATGTCGTTGATTATCATCTGTCGACTCGGAATCTATTAAACAAGACTAGTTTTTCCACTGAATAATTCTTCATTTGATATTGGCTTTTATTTGTAGCCATATCAAAATTTTATACAGAATAGTTATATTTTGATAGTAGATTCTTTTCGATTCGTCGAACTGAAAGATAATAAGCTTCGTTTTATGATGAATATTAATTCTTCTGTCAGCACCATGGACATCGTTGACAAAGCTCAAATGATTTGTTTTATAATAAGACTTTCCTCACAAGGAACGATGGTCGCAGTCAAGATTTGATACAAGTAAGAATTAGCATCAACTTAGTGTTGAAATTTCAATAATTAATATTTTATTCTGATGGTATAATGCTGTTCGATACAGAAAAGCACAATTTCTTTCAATAGATAAACATTAAATATTAGACTTATGAATTATGTATCATTTAGATCTATCCTATGATCAGACACTCAACGAGCAATAATGACGGGCATCTTGAACTTTGTATTCATTATTAAATACTAGTATAGTATTTCTTTTATTGATAGACAGACATGAAATGTTCAGAATTTCAGTAAAAGTGTTTGCCTAATTTTATTCTTAGACAAGATTACCACTTCTACTTACATTCATTGCAGGATCTCGTTATATTTAATAAATCAATTTGATGTAATGTATAATTGAATATATTCGCAGATTTGGATAATACTCTTCACCACAGTCAGATATTTACATGCTAGTGTTTATCCATGTTAAAGGTTTTGGTAAAAAATCAGATTTAAATCAATTATATTTGCACTGCTTTAATCCAATTTTTTAGCCTAAAAAAACAGATTATTTCAATGTTGATTTAATTTTATCAATTTTAAACGATTGTTGAACTGTAATCTATCAAAATAGGTCTATTCAAAAACTTGATTGAAATTGACTATTTGACCAAATAATTGATTTGTACTGCAAATTCTTTTTACCTGGGTAAAGATTGAACAGATGAAAACTGTTCCAATTTGATTATTATCAAGACTAAGGTTTTAACTAATCAAATAAAAATGTCTTTTAAATGTGCCAACGAATTAATGCTCGAGTTTTTATCAAAAAAAAAAAGAAGAAATTTGTCATCTTCACTCTAGACATAAGAAATAGTTTTATTCAATCTTATTGATTTCTCCATTAGTTCTAAGAATACGTACAATAAAATATTTTTTTCTGCCGATGTTTATTCTTTTATTAATGCCATAAATATATCGGATCCTAAAAAAAGTATGTTGCTATAATGTTGTCTAAAAAGAAAGAAAAGAATCATTCAATAGTCAATATAATCTAGTGATTTCTATTACGTTTGGTTGTGGTGCCACAAAATCGATGGCAGGCAGTGTCCTAGGATGAACCAATCGTGCTTGTCGGTGGCAGCATGGAAAAATTGCCTTGAGTTCCCATTTAAATTCCGGTAACGCAAAAAAACATACAAATGGCAGAAGATATATGATGTAATATGAAAAGAATCGTGCATATTCTTCAAAAATAGTGATGCCTTCTGGGGATGTGCAACACAGTTGTACCAGTTCGATAATCAAAACTGGAATGTAAAGCACAATATAGAGAAATGAAACCGTCAATAATTGAACTGCCATTTTTCGATATTTTCGCCATTGCAATTGTTGATGCATGCGGCGATTTTGGATTAGACATCGTACAAGAAGAGTAATACTAAAGATAATAATTGTTAGAACTGGTAAAATATCGTTTACAATAATATCCCATGTACCAACGAATCGTGAATTGTGAAAACAAAGTGGTTCACCGCATCTCACTTTTGTATAATCATACGTATTGACGCACGGTGGAAATAGAATGACAATTGAATGGAATATAAGGATATAGAGGAGGATAAATATCAAAGGAAGATAATGAATAAGAAAACGCTTCCTGGCATTAGTTAACAATTCACTGCGAAAAATAATAATATGCCGTTCAACTGATGCCCAAGCAACAAGTATTGTTGAAACAGAACTCAGTGTTTCATCAATGAACATCCACATTATGCATAAACTTGGTGTAGCTGGCCAAACAGTATTTAAGCGATAAAAGTTTAGAAATAATGGAATATCTATTAATTCATACACCAAATTATTGCATAAAAGAATGATAATAACATGATTACTGATGGCACTACGTAGAGTTTGTTTAGAAAGTAAATGATAAAGGATAAAGATTGAACAGAAAATCGATGGAATGAGAGGAGTTAGAAATAGCCAAAATCGCAGTGGAGTAGATATCAAACAAACCATGTATTTCATTATTGACTTATCACCTTCTGTGTCGTTGAGAAAGTGATCTATGTGGTTAGAAAAAAAAGTTCATTATAAAATAAATACCTTTAAGACAAAGGATCCGATTGCAGGAAGAAATTATTTCTCCGTTCTTTTTTAATATTAAGTGTAGTCGAACGTTTCGACTATATGTATCTTTCCTAGGCCAACTTAAGCGTTGATAGAATGCGTTTTAAATTAGATGCAAAATAATGAAATAATTTTCTTTTAGTGCATTATAAACTCTCAATTTCATTTCTTTAAAAGACATAGCGCATAATCCTTGTTTTTTTTCCCTCAATTGAATGAAGCACTCGTTTCACTTTATTTCTACTGTGATTTATGTCACAACAACTTCTTTCTATATCAACACCAGAAAATCATATTTTAAGCTATTTGTATGAGCAAGCACAGAAATATTAATTTCTTGAGTTTTAAGCTCTGAGAAAACACAAATTACTATACAACCACATCGAGCATGAACATATTTAAAAGGTCTTCGGTTTTTCGATGAAAAAATAACTCAACAAAACTTAATAATATGATTAATTTATACTTGATAAGTCATCTCTATGAACCACGGTAAATTCGAAGACAAGCATGCATGAATCGAAAAAATAATAGTCAAATAAACGTAAATTTTAAAAACTTCTTCCTCTTTTTAGGTAGAAAATTACATAGAAAAACTCTCCAGCTTTATAAGTTGAGCTGAATATTAATTGAATATCACCGCAAAGCTTATGATTTTATATAAACAAATGAAATTTCATATAATCATACTCTGTATCTATATATTTACTTATCGACTTATTATCTTTTTTCAGAGCAATTATGAAGCTTTTTCTGAATTACCTATCCTCTTTATTAACAATATAATCTGATTAATGCATAAAGTAAATTGCAAATTTAGGAAAAATTTTCATCAAGCGATCCACGCTTAATATAAAAAATTATGGATATCTACCTGTATTCATTGGTTTTTTTTTAATTATTTTGTGATGATATC